CTGGGGGGGAGAAGGGGGGAGAGGGTGAGTGAGATTGGGGAGGAGGGGGGGAAGGAGGAGGGAGATGGGGGGAGAGGGGAGGGAGATGGGGAGGGAGGGGGGAGAGGGTGAGTGAGATTGGGGAGGGAGGGGAAGGGTGAGTGAGATTGGAGGAGGGGGTGGGGAGAGGGTGAGTGAGATGGGGAGAGGGGGGAGAGGGGGAGTGAGATGAGGGGGGGAGGGAGGGGGGAGTGAGATTGGGGGGAGGGGGAGGAAGTGAGATGGGGGGGAGTGAGAGTGAGTGAGTGAGTGAGTGAGAGAGAGAGAGAGAGAGAGAGAGAGAGAGAGAGAGAGAGAGAGAGAGAGAGAGAGAGAGAGAGAGAGAGAGACAGACAAAGACACAGACAGACAAGCAAACAGACAGGAAAACAGAGACTAAAACATCTGGCTTATCCTCGTATGCCTTGCCCTCATTCAAACAATAAAAAGAAGTCAGACAAACAGACAAAAAGCAGAAATTCGGAACTGAATAACACCGAAAACCAAATAATTATAAACAAACCAATAAATAAATTGAGATTCTAAAAAGAAAACGTTGCTACCTCATCTAAAACCTGTCCGGCATAGCTATTTAAGGAAATTCATACGTATTAACGTCCAGGTATAATAATGTGCGAAGAAGAATTACTGGTGTGCCGATAAGAGGAGATGAGAAGGAAGAAGAAGAACAGGAAAGGGGAGGAGACGGAGAAAGAAGAAGATAATGAGAAGAGGAGAAAGGGAAAAGAAGAAATAAGAGATACTCCTCTCTTCCTCTTTCTCCCTCCTACAACTACCCCCTCTCCCTTCTCCCTTTTCCTCTCCTCTTCCTTCCTTTCCACCCTCTCTTACCCCCCCCCCTCCTCTTTAAATCTTATTTAAACCCACTCCCTCTTCCCTCTTCTTCTTTATCTTTAACCTCCCCCACCTCCTTTACCTCTTTCCTCCTTCTCCCATTCATCTTTTTTTTTCTTAGCCTCCTCTCCTTTCTCTTTTCCTCTCCTCTTTCCCATTCGGATAGTGGTATAAATCATTTATGTGTTTTAACTGGTATAACTACTTCAAAGCAGTGTACTCGAAAAATAATAATAATGATAATAACAGTAGTAGTAATAGGAGTAGTAGTAGTAATAATAATAGTAGTAGTAGTAATGATAATAATAATGATAAATAATAATGATGAATAATAATGATAATAATAATAGTAGTAGTAGTAGTAGTAGAAGTAGTAGTAGTAATAATGATGATAATAAAAATGATAAATAATAATAAAAATACCAATAGCAAGAATGAAGATGATGATGATGATGATAATAATAATAATAATGATAACAATAATGATAATTAAAACAATGATAACAATAACAATGATAAAAATATATTTGGAATATTTAATGTGTATAAACATACGGTCTAACTACTTCAGTGCAGTGAACTTGCCTCGAAGAAGAAGAATGATGATAATGATCATAATAATAATAACATTTATCATCATCATCATTATTATCATTATTATTACGATAATAATAATAATAACAATAATAGATTTAGAATAGGATTCTCATAGTTTAATAAAAATGATGTGCGCCGTGTGTGTGCGTGCGTGCGTGTGTGTGATGAAAATGTTTATATTATCAATCATCATCCCGTTTTACACAAAAAAAGACGGCAGCCACACGGAATATGACTCAAGAAGATGCCTAATTTACATAAAAAAGAAACTTAAAAGGCGTACATCAACACCAAACGTGCGAACGGATGGATAGACGAAACACGAACAGAATTATAATCATAATCATGATAATGATGGTAAAAATCGCAATAATGATAATAATAATAAAGAGGTGGAAAAACGAGATGAATAATGAACGAAAAAATAGAAGGAAACGACGAACTAAAACTAAACAAAAACAAAACAAAAAAACAAAACAGACAAGTAGAGAAATGAATGAATGTTTCTGCAATTTATTCGAAAATTGCGATTTTCTTACGAACACCAAAGAGCGCCAGAGCAGGCAAATGGCCTTCCCTGTCCATTCCATCATGGAATTAGTGCATGATTTGTCGGGGTGAATATTGCGCTTGCATGCAACTGATTTAGATAACGGTAATTCCTTATGCAAAAGAATGAGGCACAGCTGGGTGGCCACAGAGAGAGAGAAAGAATAAACGAGGGAGAATAAAAGAATAAAAGAGGGAGAGAGAGAAAGAATAAAAGAGGGAAGGAGAGAGAGAGGGGGGGAGGAAATACATGGATATATACATATATACTACAAAGGCATTGAAAAATAATACATATGCATATAAATATACCTGCATGCAAATATGCATATATACATAAATATATACAAATATATATTTATATATATTTATATATATATATATATATATATATATATATATATATATATATATATATATATATATATATGTATATATATATATATATATATATATATATATATATATATATATATATATATATATATGTATATATATGTATATATATATATATATATATATATATATATATATATATATATATATATATATATATATATATATATATATACATATATATATATATATATATATATATATATATATATATATATATATATATATATATATATGTATATATATGTATATATATGTATATATATGTATATATATGTATATATATGTATATATATATATATATATATATATATATATATATATATATATATATATATATATATATGTATATATATATATATATATATATATATATATATATATATATATATATATATATATATATATGTGTGTGTGTGTGTGTGTGTGTGTGTGTGTGTGTGTGTGTGTGTGTGTGTATTATGTATGTATGGATGGATGGATGGATGTTTCTGCCGCGTCAACATCTAAGGTCATTAGCTGCGTCTTCAAAATACAGGCATCCAGGTGGGAGGGAATGGTGGTGCACATGGAGAAGGGGAGGATGGGGGTGTTCTTGAGAAGGGTGGGAGGAAGAGGGGTAGGGGGAACTTGAGGAGGAGGAGGAGGAGGAGGAGGAGGAGGAGGAGGAGGAGGAGGAGGAGGAGGAGGAGGAGGAGGAGGAGGAGGAGGAGGATATCGGCAAATACCTTGAAAGTAGAGGGAAGAGGAATAGAGGGACTGGAGTGTGGATGAGGGCGCGGGGCGTGCTCTTGGGTCAAGTGTAGGAAGTTTTGGGTGTCTCCAAGAGCTTCTGGAGGGGAGTTGGGTGGTCCGGGAAATAAAGGTTTTCTTGTGACGAGGAGAAGAGGGGATAGAGGTCCGAAGAGCAGAGGAAGAGGTGGGTAAGAGAGAGAATGGGGAAGATGGGGACGGAACGTTTAGATTATCCAGAGCGCCAGGTAGCTTCGGGGAAGTGGTGGAGATTGGAGTGTCTGGAGTTCGGCTGGAAAAGGAATTTGAGTTGAGGAGAAAGAGAGTAGCGGTAGGTTCGGGGTAGAGGGAAGAGATACTGGGGAAGATGGGAGGGGAGCGGAGCGAAGGACAGTTTCTTGCCTAGCCTCACGTAGAGGCTAGGCAAGTAGAGTTTAAATCTGAGATCTGCGACCTATGATTCGATTTTGTTGGCAGGGTAGCTCCTGTAAAATACATTATGGGAGCCACCACAATTGACACACGTGCGTGACTGAGCAGAGCAATTTAAACGGTCGTGACTAAGTTGGGCACATGGAGGACAGCGGTCTGTGGAGCAACAGTGATTGGCTGTGTGACCAAAACGACAATATTTCCGACATTGACGGGGAAGAGGACGATATGGTCGGGCAGGGCACTCCACCAATATAAACTTCATGGGGGAGGTCATGTCTACGAAGACTAATCTTGGCCATATTGGTGTAGGGCTTACATTGGCCTCTGGGAGGAATAGTGTAGCACTGGATTGCCACTGCATCATAATCGAAGAGGCAGGCGAGCAGATCGATTTTAGTCTGACCAGTCTCTATCGCTGACAAGGAATCAGTCGGAGAGATAGGAACAGTTCGACTTCAAGTATTAAGGGAGGAGTGAGGTTGGGCAACAAAAGGTTTGCCAGTGAAGTCAGTCATGGTAGGTAGTGCACGAGCTTGGGTCTTGGATGTAACTGTGTCAAGGCGTGAACGATCGGAACGGCTGCGAATGGAAATCTTGCCTCCTTGTTTCTGAAGACATTGTTGGAAGAGGAGGGCATCGCCAGAGTAAGGGGCAGGGCCAAAAAGAGTTCTCAAAAGGCTTGCAGAGGTGGAGGGGCGAGGGCGGGAGGAAGATGAGGTGGTGCGGAGTGAGGCAGTGCCGTGGGGAGGAGGCCTATCAAGATGAAGAGTAGTGAGAAGGGGGGGGTGGGGGTAGACAAAGAAGACTGTGCAGCAGGAGATGGAGTGAATGATGATGAGAGAGAGGAAGGGGTGTATTCTGAAGGTTGAGTGATGGACGAGCCAATAGCAGACATCGAGGAGGGGGTATTAGTATCAGGGGAAAGAGCCGTGGTCAATAGAGAGGTAGGAAAAGGTCAGGAAAGCTGAGAAATCAAATTTAGGTAAGATAGTTGATTGAAGGGGCAAGCCTAAATGCCCCTAATATAAGGGTAAAAAAAATCTTCATCATTGGCCATGATTAACCTGAAATAAGTGGGGAGAAGAAACGGTCTACCTAAGGGCAAGGCGATTAACGAAGGGGATACCGTGCCCTAGCTCTCGGAGGCCGTTCAGAAGGGACACAGAGCAAGCCTTTCATCCTTTCAGCACGGCTCTCACACCTTAGAAAGCGGACGAAAGAAGGGGATGGAGTAGACTGGGAGAAGAAAGAGAGAAGAAAAGACCAAGCAAAATGAGTTGAGTCGAGGGCTGAGGGCCAAAGTCGGGCTGATCCCCTCCTTCGGGCTTCACTCTCCGTCCCCCCCTCCTCCCCCACGACAACAACCCCCAAGGGATTAAGGGGGTGGGGGGGGGTATATGTATGTAAATACACGCACA